CCCTGGAGGGATTTAAAAGAAGGAGAGATGAGGTGCTGAGGGACAGGGTTCAGTGGTGGGATGGCAGGGGTAGGTTAAAGGTTGGACTCGATGATCTTAAAGGGCTTTTCCAACCCAAGTGATTCTATGATTCTATGAAATACTGGTCAGTGCGGAGCCGAATCGCTGGCTCGAGAGGCCCCTGCCGGGCTGCGCGGCTCTGCCTGCGCTGGTCAGACCCAGCTCGTGGTCTCGGCAGCTTGCGTTACGTCTGCTGCGAACAGGTCTGTAATGAAGCTGAGCCAGAAGCGAGCTGGGCCAGGGCAAGAGCTCCCTGGTGCAGAAGGGAAGGAACCAAATGAGCCATTTCCGACTGCTCCGGAGGGAAGGAACCAAATGAGCCATTTCCCGACTGCTCTGGCGCAGGGGTGGGCTGCGAGGTTGTAGCCTCCAGGCTGGCGAGGGCAGAGGACGGGAGGTCGCGCCGTGGTGGGTCAGGAGGGGTCTCCCACGTGCGGGTGCCTGCTGAAGGCCTTGTGGTTTCTGCAGGGATGTCAGAGCTGTGGGAGCTGAGCCCGGCTTGGCCGGTGACCAGGGGCTGTGGAGGCATTGGTGGAAAATCTGTCTTTGTGCTCCCTCTGTCGCAGTGCCGCTGAGCCTGGGCAGGAACAAGGGTTTCCTTGTACCTGTTCCTGGCTCTGGTGAATGCGGTTGGCTTGGTGCCCTTCCGGGGTTAACGGCGCCTTCTGATGCTGAGCTGCTGGCAGGGCTCTGTCCTGCACCTTTGCTTTAGGGCACGAGCCTCCAGCGTGCTGCGAGGAGCAATCTGTGCGTGACCGAGCTCAGCCTGCCTCCGAGGGCTCGCTCCGCGGGGTGGTAACGTTCCTCTTGCTCTTCCAGAACTTCCTGTATAAATGCATCGGAACAACGCTTGGGGCGTGCACCAGCAAAGACCTCGTGCAAAAGCAGCTCCAGGAGCTCCTGGAAACAGCCAGATACCACGAGGAGGCAGAAAGGGAGGTGAGGAGGAGTCGTGGCAAGCATCCCAAGGGTCGCCCTGACGGATCAGGGGAGCGGTCCTACCGTGCCTGGCCTGGGCTTGTGCCTCCTGGAGAATGGCTGTGGGGTAGGCTGCGGCATCGGGGTGGATGAGCGCAGACACGCGAGGAGAGCTCACCTGCAGCCACCCAAGGGCAAGGGGGCTCTGAAGCTGGGTGAGGTGCAGGGGGGGCCGTGGGGCGCTGCCTTGAGGGGCCCCAGGCTGGGACAGGGTGCTGTTTGCCAGCCCTGAGCACGCTGGCAGAGCTCCTTCCTTGAGCAAGTCACAGAATCTGCTCACAGGATGGTTTGGGTGGGAAGGGAGCTTTTAAAGATTCCCCAGCCCAACCCCCCTGCCGTGGGCAGGGACGTCTCCCACCCGATCGGGCTGCTCAGAGCCCCGTCCAACCTGACGCTGAACACTTCCAAGGATGGGGCATCCACAACTTCCCTGGGCAACCCGGTCCAGTGCCTCACCACCCTCATCATAAAGAATTTCTTCCTTATGTCCAGTGAAATCCTACTCCCAGTTTAAAGCCGTCGCTGCAGGCCCCGCTAACGAGCCCGTCCCCACCGCTCTCCCCAGCCCCTTTGAGCGCTGCCAGGCCACAGCAAGGTCTCCCCGGAGCCTCCTCTTCTCCAGGCTGAGCCCCCCCCGCTCTCCCAGCCTCTCCCCCCC